TGTGACAGAGGGGGGGGGGGGTGGGGGGTGGGGGTGGGGGGGGAGGGGGTAGTCGGGGGGTCAGGAAATCCCAAACCCACAGGTCGTTCATGGAGAAGTCGTTCAGAAACTAGATGGTTTTTTTTTTCCTACCTGCGACTCGAACCACCGCCCTCTCCGCCGGGTCCAGCACAGAGTCCTGGCTCTTCCTCTTCCTCCGTTCGTGCTTGGACAGGTTCCAGGGTAGAGTGTCTCCCGGCGGCCCCACGACTCCCGAGGGACAGGGGGACAGGGAGCCCCCCGAGCGCTCGCTGCGGAAGGACGGCTCGCTGACACAGGAGCGCTCGCTCAGAGTGTCGTCGTCCGACGACTCCATCCTTCACTGAGGAGAGACAGGAGGAGGAAGAGGAGGAGGAGGAAGGATGGGAGGAGGTCAGGGGTGAAGGCAGAGACAGGAGGAGGAGGAGGAGGAGGTGAAGCAGGAGGAGACAAGAAGAGAGATAAAGTTTTAGGACCAGTGAAGCTGCTGTGATTCATCAGTGTTTTAACAACGACCAGTTGTGTATAAATGAGTGAAAGGATGCAATAGCGCCCCCTTTATTAACAGAATGTCAACTACAGTATTAGCATCAGATTTCCAGTCAAACCAACGACCAACAAAACAGTGAGAAGGAAAGGAGGTGTTGAGTTTCCTGTGATTCTATTTTTACTGAGGAGTCAATACATCAGTAAGACGAGACTCGGAGTCTGTCTCCTCCTCTTTCTTCTCGACTGTTCGTCCGTTTCTAAACTGACGGATTACAGACAGAGAAACAAGTGAAGGTAAATATTTGCTGCTGAGTGGAGCTGTGTGTGTGTGTGCGTGTGCATGTGTGTGCGTGTCCTCCTGAGACCTGCTGCTCTGGTCGCTCCATCACATAAATCAATAGCCGCTCGGCTAAGAGCAAATGAATTGGCTTTTTATTTGATCTCACGTCGCAGCAGCGCAGATCGTCTCAACAGGTCAGAGAGTCAGTCAGAGAGTCAGTCAGAGAGTCAGTCAGAGAGTCAGTCAGAGAGTCAGTCAGAGAGTCAGTCAGAGAGTCAGTCAGAGAGTCAGTCAGAGAGTCAGTCAGAGAGTCAGTCAGAGAGTCAGTCAGAGAGTCAGTCAGAGAGTCAGTCAGAGTGTCAGCCAGAGAGTCAGTCACTGAGTTAGTTAAAGAGTCAGTTCCTGAGCTGTCTATGGTTTTTGTGATGCTGTCTCTTGTTTTAGTGATGTCAGGATAAATAAATAAATATCCCCGCTCCCTCCTGTGACTCCACCTCCTCTGCCCCCTGCTGGTGGAGGCCACAGCTAAAGAGTCAGTTCCTGAGCTGTCTATGGTTTTTGTGATGTCAGGATAAATAAATAAATAATCCTGCTCCCTCCTGTGACTCCACCTCCTCTGCCCCCTGCTGGTGGAGGCCACAGCAGACTAAACTGATGTTCATTCACAGGGTGGGAAAGTTTCTGTGACTGTGATTTCAATCTGTGCTGCTGCTGCTGCCAAAATCCTCCTCCTCCTCCTCCTCCTCCTGCTGCTGCTCTCCCCCCTTCATCTCCCCCTCCTCCCCCTCCTGCTGCTCCTGGCACCTGACGCGCCCCTGACTCGACCGCTGGCCGAGCCCCATGATGCACTTCCTGACTCTCCATGGCAACAGCACCAGGAAGAAGAAAAGGAGAGTGTGCCTACCCATAATCCTCTGCAGTTGTGGAGTTGCCTGGTGTGTGTGTGTGTGTGACAGTGACTCAGTTCAACTCTGGGTTTTATAAATAGAGTTTCACAGTCGTACTGTGTTATTACAGACGACTGAAGACTGGAGTGAGACGCCGTGAGGTCACTTCCTGTCACTTCATACGTACACTGTCCTCAACATGCGGCTCACAGCCTCACAGCAGCTCAGTTACAGAGTCTGTTCCAAACTCTAAACTAAAACTTCAGTCTTAAAAAATCCCAACAAGAAATACTTCAAACACTGGTGCATTCTGGGAAAAATACCACAGAGGAGACCCCTGTGACCCCTGTGACCTCTCAGCCTCCAGACCAACTTGATGAACTATGTCTGATATTTTCAACGACTCTGTTTTTCAGAAGTTTAATGAAGAACAAACAAACAAAGTTGAGACTCGTAATAAAAGTTTCTGAGTAGCCCACGACCAGTACCAGTACCAGTACCAGTACCAGTACCAGTACCAGTACCAGTACCAGTACCAGTACCAGTTCTGATGCTCATGTTCACCTGCTCCTCCATCAACTACATTCTGAACTGAGGACAGAGACAGACTCAGAGAGACGTCTGTGTCTGTCTCTGTGTCCACCGGGACTCACAGCTGGAGGTTCCCACTCCACCCCAGGTGGGGGCAGCACTCTTTATGAATTGTGTGCAGAAATAAATAAAAGGCTTGAGAGGAGGCTGCAGCAGCTGAGTTCACATTCCTCTGTGTCTCCGTCTCTGTCTGCATGAATGGACATCAGACACCAGACATGAGACATGAGACATGGACACCAACCAACTAAACAACCAACCAAACAACCAACCTTTACATCACTCAGTTACAGTGTGATGTAAAGACCATCATCATCATCATCATCGTCACAGGAGGAGGAGGAGGAGGACATAAAACCGTGAACTGCTCCTTTACCTCTAACAGAACGACAGGAATCCCTCCAGTAACACAGATTATTACAGATTACAGGCGGTGGTTGATCTGAATAGAGGGAGGTGTGACGTCACAGACGTCATTTATCCACACACATCGATTGGACTGATTGGTTTATAATTAATATGAATATCAATGAGGAGACTCTGGGATGGAAACACGGCGGAGAAAAGAGGGACAGGAGGAGATAAGGGAGGAGGTGAGGGTGGAGGTGAGGGTGGAGGTAAGGGAGGAGGTGAGGGAGGAGGTGAGGGTGGAGGTGAGGGAGGAGGGGAGGGAGGAGGGGAGGTGCTGGAGCTCCGGAGGAGCCGCTTACCTCTAGCGGGCAGCAGCGCTGCTGGAATCCGAGCAGAGAGCGAGGGAGGCCGGGGAGTGATGCCGCCGCCGTCCCCTCTCCTCCCTCCGGGTGAAGGGGGTGGATGAACAGATGGGTGAGCGGGTGAGGGAGTGAGAGAATCCCGGCTGGTGTTCCTTCACGTCTCCTCCAAAACCTAAACCTCCGAACACAGTGAGGCGGAGGAGAAAAGCAGGAGCAACGTGATCGTGAGTGGAAATGGCTGATTCTCCTCCCTCTCCTCCCCCTCCTCCCCCTCACTGACTCTCTCTCTCTCTCGCTCTCTCTCTTCACCACCCCCACCAGCTAACCCTCTCTTTCTCTCTCTGTTTCCACCGTCTCCCCGTTTGTCCTCACAGCCTTGGCCTCTCTCCCTCACCCATCCAGACTGTTTCCCTCACCCACCGTCTCCCTCGGTGTGACGGGAGACGAGGGGGAGGAAAAACTAGAACCACGGGAACAAGTCCGGAGTTCCTGAGTCGTAACTGTACAAAAATAAAGTGGTAAAAGTGTAAAGGCGATTAAAGGGACAACACGTCGTTAATCTGTGACAAGAAAGAGCCAAACAGGGAGATTAAAGTCGCATTTCATGAAAAAAAGGGTATAAATTATAAAAATGAAGTTGAAAGAATAGGAGGAAATCCATCCATCCATCCATCCATCCATCCATCATCCATCAATGTTAACGTGCTCTTTCTACCATCATCAGGGTCGTTACCAGCTGTCACTTCATTACCAGGTGTATCATTGGTACCAGGTGACCTCAGGTGACCTTCCTTAGTGACAGATCATCAGGTCAGATCCACGTTCTCTGGAAACATTTATTCAGCCACAGTTGGACCAACACACACACACAGGACGCCAAAAATAAACCAGGGTTCAGTTTAATGGACCTGGTTTTAGGAGGTGAGGAGACAGAGAGTCCACAGTTTACACTGGTGCTGTCCACAGTCTCTCTCCTGTGGTCAGAGACAAACATCCCTCACACCGAGAACAGAACGACAGTCGCAAAGTTGTTTTTGTTAAGTGTGGGTTTTAAGAAAACTCTTCCCTTCAGTCGTCTGTCTCCATCACTGATGTTTCTGTCAGCATTCGACCACATGTTCATGAACTCAGCTTCAACATAAATGTGAAGAATTGTCACCAAGGACGTGACCTTGGTGACCTTGGTGTTCCTCACTGACCCTCACCCTGTAGAATGAACAGAGAACAAAAGATAAATGTTTTTTTTTAAAGTCAGGTCGACAGGGAAAAAATAAACGTTGATTTGGCTCCCTCTTGTGGTGGCTTTTGTAACGACTGTTAATTCTATCAACCTGATTTAAATGCTGGTAATCAAATCACGGACTGTCGGAGAGCGTCCATTCACAGTTGTGCCTCTCATCAGTCTCCACTGCACTCCCCCCTGAGAGCACTCACCCACTGAACTGTTCCACTTCTTATTAAAATCAGGCCAAGAGGTCAAGGCACTGGGTGGCAGTTCAAGGTCCATTTGCAGCACAGAGAAAAGGCAGAGGAATTGGCCACTACTGAAGCCAGCAGGAAAGACATGGGATAAAGGGGTGAAAGGGAAGAGACAGCGCATGTGCAAACGAGCCAAATAATAAAATAATTGGACAATTTCCATTCAATTAAAACACAGAAAATCAACAAGATAAAAAACACTGCCAAAATAGGGCTTTTAAAATGTGACCCGAATGAAAAAAAATGTATTTAAAAGAAAAAAGTTTCAAAAAAAAGAAAACAAAACAAATTTGTATTTTTACATAGAAATGTAAAAATATATTTTAACAACAAATAAAAAACAAACATTTTACATTAAAATATTCTCACATTTCTATTTCTTATTGAATATTTTAATAAATACATATAATGAGTGTTTCAGGTCATTTTGGTGTAACTTTAATTAACACTTGAATTGTTTTTGTTTTTTCCAGTGACTTTTATTAAATAAATACAGAGCTGCTGATGCAGAGTCAAAGACTTTATTTTGGGAATAAGTACAAGTGAACAGGAAATAATATCTGGTTTGTGATTAACGTGAACAGAAGAGCCTCAGGGCCTGACATCTTTTTCGCCCGTGTGACAGGTCGGTGGCGTGTACTTTCCCTCCTGAATCAACTTCTCTCTCTGTGCCAAGATTGTTTTGAGCCGGGTGAACTGCAAGGACGGGAGCAGAGGAAAGAAACCGTGAAAAAAATGTTCTGGAAAAAATTCTGCAGCACACAACTGCCGAGACGGAGACACTCACCGTCTTCCTGCGGTGCATACACTCCATGAAGTCTTCATACTCAATCCTCGCGCGGGTTCGGCCGATGCCGTGGGAACACTCTATCCACTCCTTTTCGAAGGCGTAACAGCGAGGGGCTACGCTGTAGGGCTGCTTCGTGCTCTGATTTGACAGCGGACGGTCGAGCTCGAGGCCAAAATGTTTATGCAGGTCCATGAACGGCATGATGGCGGCGCTGGTGGAGGAAGAGGAGAGAAGACAACACCAGGGAAGAAGAAGAACGAATGTGACTGAGACGGGCTTTAAAAAAAACAACTGCATCTAATCACTAACGAATTTCAAAGTGTAATTATAATGTATAACATTGGTAAACAAATTAATGAATTAACTCGAGAGTTTATCACAGGATTTAATTCGGCAGATAAAATACAACACATTCGTGCAGGGAGTTCAGATTAAACAATTCTTTAGCTTTTAATCTAGATTTTCTTTTGTACTTTTAAGACAATTTCAAAATATATTCAAAATAGTTCGCAGATCGTACGTATTATTAACAGTTGCTGAGGATAGTCTTCGTTCCGTTGTTAGCCGCGACACTTAGCCAGCTAAGCTATGTAGCGAAATAGCGAACAACGGATGACAGTTATAGTCTTTTAAACTCACGTTAATTATCTAAATATATTAAAGTCATTCATTGTAATATTTTAAAGATTATTGTCATGACGACATTAACGTGCACCGTAACGACACCGTCCGTGATCTTTTTTTTCTGATTCTTCTTCAATGACAGTGTGATTACGCTAACGGCGCTGATGGTGACACATACGTCTACGTCACACTCAGATATATTTAAAACAATGCATTTGACTTTGAAAGTAAGTGTTTGAAAACCTGTTAGTAAAGTTATATTATCGATAAATACGTTTATTCACCGGTTTCGTCGGACTCACTTTAACCTTCCTCCGAGTCTACGGCTCCACACGAACTGCTTTACGGCAGTGAAGCATAACACGGAAGTCGTCACTCGTTGACGTTTTCTTCTTCCTCTTTTTTTTTCTCCAACCTTAGTACAACAGTTTGAATAAAAATTATAGCGCCACCTAAGGGACTAAAGTCTGAACTCTGGCCGTGTTCCTTCAGCTCGGAACAATATCGACATATTACAATCGAAATAAATAGAAAAAAACTCGCTATTTGGTGCAACATCAGTTTGTGTTTATTATTTTCTTTCTCAGGGAAAAGTCGCCATGTTTTTCTTTCACAGTCCCGTGTGTGTGCGTGTGTTTGTGTGAGAACACACAGTAACAGGAAACAAAGTTCTAACACTTAAATACAGTATTGCTCTCTATATTCTCTAAAAACATTTTTCTTTTTCTCAAATGAACGACAGGAACATGAACACCCACGCACACTCGTTCATGACAACTGTGTGTGTGTGTTTTTATAGACAGGCAGCCGGGCCTCGTTCATGACAACTGTGTGTTTTTATAGACAGGCAGCCGGGAACAAGTGGAAAAGTGCGGAACAATCTAGAACACTGCTGAGTTACAGACGCAGCTTCATTCATAAAGCTTTAGGAAGGCAGAAAAATGAAGATTCCCTTAAGAAATCCAAAAAGAAAAACATTTCAACAGAGGCGTAAGAAGCTAAAATGTAACTGTGGTTAAAAAACAAACAAACATATGATTAAAACAACATGAAGCATCTTTAGTTTTAGGGACTAAACTAAAGAAACCTCCTGAAATATAGAAGAATTATCCTGAAGAAAATCACCAGTCACTTAAAATGTCCATTTGTGAAGACAACAAACCAGGTTTTCCCCACAGGAAGATTCCACAGATGTCACAGATTCTAGAGTTTGGCTTCAAAACCACGTGACAGCTGCTCATCAGTGAAGTAACAGAAGAAAAAAAAATGCAAAAATATGCATCACAGAATTGACAAAAACCGTATTCACGCTTAGGTTATGAAAAGGCAGAGAAAATGACGTCAGTTTTTGAGCCAAACTCTTCCTCAGTTCCATCCAACACAAAAGGCCTGGAAGGTGATTTTTTTTTTTTGTTTTTTGGTTTTTACCACAGACTTTAGTGCTCGCAACTGAAGTTAACGTAGCAACAACGAACAGCCAAAAAAAAAGATAAATACGATGAGTTCAGATAAAGTGCACGAGTGCTCAATCAAAAATAATAAAAAAAACAAAAAAACAACAATCACACAAAGAAGAACAGCCAGAGACGTTGGTGTACATTCATCGTTGGTCTGTACGTTCACACACACACAGACGCAGATGCAACATTCAAGTGGCCAGAAAAGTAGTAAGTAAGTAAACACTGACAATAACACACGCCGCTCTGTTGTGGCGTCGGTCCGTGTCACATGACACAAACACACAATGACAACAGTCTGACAATGACGTGGGCGGAGCTTCGTTAATGGCCTGAGGCACAAACACAGTCCATTCTTGATTAACTTTAAATTGATCTAAATGTGTATAAAGTTTACCATGAATTTTTTCTTTCTCTGAATATTAACTCGTATTAACTAGTAAATTTGCTAGCATGAAAATTAACTAACGGTACTTTTAGCTACGTCGCTGGATTAGAGTCATGATGATTCAGCGTCTAGTGTTTGAATGAAGTTTTCACAGTAACAGATTTTTATAATCTTTGACATTTTCACTTTAAGGTCTGGGTTTTTTTTTTGGTCCAGGTCCAGACTGAGAATACCTGGTGAAAAAGTTCCTGCCTCACTGTCGCCATCATTGTCAGAATGTCAAGTCAAATGTTCCTGTGTTCCATGAACCACGGGTTTAGTCTCCTCTGAACATAGATTCAAGTGCAGCTTCTCTTGCTCTCTTTATCCCCCTCTTGTGGCCACATTTCCAGTCGGTGGCTCATGCGGACTCATGCACACAGAAAAAAATGCCTCATCATCATCATCATCATCATCATCATCATCATCGTCGTCATCATCATCATCGTCCTAGTCTGGGTCTGAATATAAATAATAAACAAAAAAAGTGAAAAATAAACGCCACGACAGTCGAGTCCACATTCATTCTCACCTGACATCCCCCCCCGCCCCGCTCTCTGATGTGCTTGGTGACCTTTCACCTCTTCTAATTTCTTTTTTGTCTTGTGGAAAATTCTGTACCTCTCCTTTTATAATTTTTTTTTTTATGATTCTTCAAACTTTTTTTTTTTGCTGAAGTAGCCAAGGCATTTTGCACCAAGGAGTAAACATAAATAATCGTCTTAGAAATCTCAGAGGTAGAACCCTGACTGTGACAGGTGGATCGACAGAGACAGACCAAAGTAAACGATCGTTGTGGGAGACGTTAAAGCGACACATGAAAAAAAAAAAACAGGGGAAAAAAACGGAGACATCAGGGAAAAGGTGTTTTTTTGTGTTGGGGTTTGAATGTTTTTCTTTTTGTTGTTGTTTTTTTTTTTGTGCAATCCTGAGAGCCAGGTTCTCTCAGACGTACAGGATGACGTTGCTGTCTGTGGGACAGTGAAGGCCTTCGGTGGAGGGGTTCAGGGTCCGGCAGGACGGAGGCTGAGTCTGCTGCCCCCCCGCCAGCAGGTGGCAGCTTTTGGGGTGAGGGGAGTCACAGTCGTCTGACGTCAGCTCGGCGATGTCGTCCGACTGCGTGTCCGACATCTCCAAGTCGCTGCGGATGCTCTCCGGCTGAGCCAGCGTGACGTCCCGGAGCCCCTCCCTCATCGACACCCCCGGCGACAGTCCCAGGGCGGAGCCGGAGAGAGCGCCGCCCCGTCTGGAGCTGCAGTCCTGAGGCTCCTCCCCTCCCGAGGCGGTTGCCATGGCAGCGGAGGCCGGGGGAGGGGTCAGGTCCTCCTCACTGGTCAGGCAGAGGTGGCTGGGTTTGGTCTCGATGTCCACCTGGATCTCCAGGTTGGTGCACTCCCTGTGGAACCACGGAGACACAGAACTGTGAGGAACTATGATTGGTCCCAAACTGTGGAGCGGATCGTCCTGAATCCACGGTTTGAAACTGAAGCAAAGACGCTTCAAGATACGGCTTAAATCTACAACAACACTCGTCTGTCGACTGAATTTTCCTCATCAAAAACATTTAAAAACAATTCATTCGTTCCACCTCCCCCCCCGAAATATACTATTAATTAATTAAATTAAAATAACCCCCCATCTAAAAATCTAAAAACAAACAAATATATTGATAATATAAAATAATAATAATTAAGGAAAACATTTATAATATTGTTATAAAAATGGGTAAAATAACCCAGAGAGGGAGACAGCGCCACAGTGTGTCGAGCGCTGGTAACTGGTAGAAAATCGTCTCTGACCTGTCAGGTAGTGTGTAGGAGGAAATGATGGATCCGGCCATTCCTCTGGTGCTGGCACAGTCACTTCCTGCCCCCAGGCTGCCCGTCTCCCTCTGGGCTGACTCCTTAGCCAGCTCTGCTGCCTGAACCTCCAGTCTGGAGGACACAACAAATTCAAAATGTTTTCATTCATGAAACTTTTTTTTATAATTTAAAAAAATTATAAATAATTGTGATTCCTGACCTGCTGTATTTGCCGGTGCGAGCCCCCAGCGCTCCTCCTGCCAGCGTGTTGAAGTGTGGCGTGTCACCGAGGGCCCCGGGGGCCACGGAGAGGCCCTCACTGGGGGAGGTGGTGCTCAGGCCGCTGACCGCTCCGTCCAGACTGCTCTCACCCAGACTGGGAGACTTGAGCGCTCGCCATGCGTCGGCCACTGCAGCGTGGAGGAGTGTGAATATAAAGTACTCGATACTACAACTCCATGTACTGTGTATATATACAGGTACGTCTCACAGGAAGTCAGTACTCACCTGTGATTGGTCCGTCATCCTCGTCAAAGTCGATACGGACGCCCCGCCCCTTTCCTCTGCTCACTCCACATCCGCCTCCACGACACAGAGATATCGGCACCACACCGTAAACGTAGGCTAACATGATCGGTACACCGATACCTGGGGGGAACAGAAACAGTTCATACACCTGGGCTATTGTTTCCCGCCGGGGTAAAACACAGCCTGTGTTGCTAAAAACAAAACTAACAACAACCGATTAACGTTACTGGTTCTTACCCACGCTGACAGCCGCGATGACGGGGGCGGTGATGATGGACAAGGCCACGCCCCCAGTGATGGCCAGATTCCTCCTGTGACGAGATGACGTCTTCTTCAGTTCGTAGTGGGCGTGGATCTGCAGCAGAGCAGAGACACGGTTTTAACACCGAGACGTTTGCATTCTCAATTTTGACCGCTAGATGTCACCCAACCCCTTAACAACACAGATAATGTCCTGATTAGTAGCCCGTCACTTTGCCTGAAGTAAAAGAAGAGTTCTCATTACGTTTTTGTTTTGTTTTTGTTTTGGGGTTTTTTTTTGCCTCTTTTTGTTGTTTCAACATTAACATTAAATAAATTAACGATCGATTTTCAAGAATTTCACAAGGTTTCTTCAGATATTTTAAAATTCTGTGTTTTCCATACAGGACAAAGTGCCAGCTTCACTTATATAGAAGTACAGCCAGTAAAAACAAACATTAACTGGTCAATAAAACTACAACCAAATCGATTATCGTTATCGTTAAAAAAATACTTTAAATCAAAATCTTATACAAAATAATTATTTTTCTTTCAGCTGTAAAATCAAACTCAGTTTCTGAAACATTTTCTAAATATAACCCAGGTTTTTTCAACATTTTCGGAGGAGCCTTTACATCATCCTCTGGAACACGGAACAAAAACAAACTCTGTGAAGTCTGTGGGAGTTTGGAACTGAAGTGAAAACTGATTTCTAATAATGAAAGAATTTTCTGTCATTTCCAAAGA